GCCAAACCTTGCATACCATGCTGTGAGATTTCACTGTACTTCTATTACTCCCATCCTAAAAATAATCCAGTTCTTTCTGAGAACCATCCTAAACCTCTTCCAGCTCTGATTCTTCAAGAGCATAAATTTAATATTTGTGCTCTGGTTTGGTTTTCCAAGTCCAAAGGTCCTGTGGTAGTCTCACAGCACTGGCAAGGGCTCTCAGAATTAGCCCCTAGGATGACATTTCCACAAGTCTCCTCCTCAGCCCTTTCTCAGCCCCTTTCCTCAGCTTACACTTGAGTCTTTCAGGTTATTCATTGCTACTTACCTGGCAAGGTCAGAATCAGCCCTCAAGTATCCAAAGCAGCTTCAGGCTACTGGGTGGTTTTTGGTGGTTTGGGGTTTTTTTTTGCATTGGCAGCAACTCCATAGCCTCAAGACAATGTATTTACTGTCTACTAGCATGCCATAGATAGTCCACAAACGGTAAAGATTTCTACTTTCTTCCTATGAGGCACAAAGTCCCGAAGTGGATAGAGAGAGATATGAATGAGGATGTTGACACACCTACACCCATTAACAAAACCTACAAGGCACACGCCAGAGGTGAACACCTCTTACCAGGGTGTGTGGTGTGGCAACAGCAACAAACATTCAATGAAATATTCAAAAATGAATGAGGAACAAATATTACCGAATACTTTCCAGGAGAAGCTATAGCTATTAGCTGCAGTAGGTAAAATGTAAACTTATCATTAGCAAAAACTGTAATAATAGTTCAGTAAAGTAACAAGCTGCCAAGGAGAGACTTGAATCACCTGTTAGCAGCACTAAGGGCTGGTCCAGACATCCATCAGGAATGATTAAACATTAACAAAAATTAGCCCAGTCATTAAGCTAGCGAAGAACTGCATGACTCACCAGAAACTTCCTTCAGTCAGAGCAGCTCTCTGAAACAGCCCACCCAAGCTGTGCAGCAGTGAAATAGGGGCTAACCAGACTGCTGTTAAAAAAAAGTCCCTTAAAAGTCCCTTTTAAACATAGAAAGACCATGCAGAAGGCATATCGGGCACACCGTTGTTTTCCTCAATTCACAGGAAGCTAATTTTTTTAACTTCCACTGAGCACAAACATCCTAAATTCCAAGATATTTAAATGAGTAAGATAAGCTATTTTTTCACCTTATTCAAATCTACAAACTCCATTCCTTATGAAAGTAATAGATTTTTAAAAAGATGTTATGCTCTGAAACAGTCTTCTCTCTTCGGACAGAGGAGGCAGAACGTCTGCTACAATACAACATGATAACAAGGCCAAAACCATTAAAGCAAGTACAGCAGGTTAGGTTACGTAGCTGTAAGTTTTACACCTGCTGGTATTGGGGGGGAAACATGGGGAAGTGACTCTCAGAATTAGACAAGTTGTTATCATGGGTCCCCTCATTCTCCGTGTTCTCGCTGTCTTTTTCCAACCTCTACCAACCAGCCAAAACACTGAGTCTCCGAAGACTGTTTTATCAGAAATATCAGTTACCAAAAGACACCCATAGGTTATACCATTTACATTGATTTATTTTTTTTAATATATTTAACACACACACACACAGAGCTAGTGCATTTATATGACTCAAAACTATAAAGACTGAAAGATTCAGGCTAAGAGAGTACAAACAACAGTTTGGACACAGTTCTTTCCCCAGACTTAAGTAATTCTAGTTTTTTATGCATTATCTATTAACTGGTTTAGCAGATCAGTTTATAAGGTCAATGACAGGCTATTACACTTTCAGCTCAAATTCTATAGCAAAGTTTACTTTTACTAAGCTTTTCTTCAAAAAACATAGGGCCACCAAGTTTTTTTCTCTCTAAAATCACAGAGCTACACGCTAGACTTAGCAACTGCGTATTCTGCAGATAGGAAGACACTGTCACCTACTCACACCCCCTGAAATCATCAACTGCAGCCAGAACATCCCGAGCAATTAATTAACATGGATAACTACAACATTAATGTTTTCTCCAGCCTACCCTTTGAAGCACGGAGCTGCAAACAGCACAATTAATGCACGCCTCCATTTAATTATCTAATCCAGTACTAGTTATAAGTTATAGTTAAGGCAGCAAGTAATTAAAAGCCTCTCCCAACCCCCCTCTTATTCAGCCGAACCACCTTCTCATCTGGTAATAAGGGAGACGCTGGGCAGCTCTGTATGGTGCCCCTTACCAGAAAGCTGCCGTTCTGTGGTTCTGCTGCACACGGTATTGCTGGTTTTTAAAACCAGACTTCAAAAGCTACAGAGAACTCTTAAAGACAACTTAAGAGCTTCACTGTTCGCAATTGTGTCACCTGCGAACAGCATTAAAACAAAAACAAACCCAGACATTTACACATTGAGCATTTGGTTTTTAAAATGGCACCTTAAGTTTTTAACCTGTTGGATTTATTTCTTTCTACAGACAATGAGTTTAACTGTTGACAGACCTATCAATAGCTTGCAAGAGCTCAAGACACAACCAAATAAACTCAACAGCACATAGTTTTTTCTTCCAAGAAAAATTATCTCAAGGAGACTACTTATACTTATTTAAGAAACATTTTCTTAATAGCACAGGAAGGCAAGCCAGTAGAGATCCCATTAATCTTTAAATTCTCTGAAGTGATACTGTCAAGAAGATTGCTTACGTACGGTGTGAGCCTACAGTTACTACATAACAAGCATTTATTGGGTTCCTTTCACAGCAAGTGTTAATAAAAAGCCATGAGATGGTAATACTTTTTGTTTCCATTAGAATTTTTTTTACATTCATTCTACAATTGTCTGCCTATGCCCAAACGGAAAAGCAAAACAAGACCAAAAAAAAAAAAAAAAAAAAAATTACCTTCTCCTTCAACTTATTCACAGATTTAAAACACTTTCTTTCTGGGTATTCTAGTCCCTTGAAACTGTACTGCTATTAAATATAATAATACAAAACAAAAAGTGTAAATACTGCATCTTTGAGACATACCAGACGCACAACTGCACCCAAGTGCAATAGCATGGTAATATAACAAGAGACAGTTCTCATGAAAAACAATGCCCTTAAGATAGCAAATTACTCTACCCAATGCCAAAACCAGTTCACATACATGCAGGTATCTTTAATAACTCCATTACAACAGTGTCTGAGGACTAGAAATTTTGTATATGTATCATAGTAGCCACTGGGGAAACAGAGGAGTTCAGAAGAGGTTAGGTTCCTCTCCTGCCCCAGTAAATATGAAGTATACACAGTGTACACAAAGGTATAAGGAAAGTATATACAGGGTTTTATTCTTCTCTTCATGCAAGTTTGAAGTGACCCAGAAGATAAAAAGCCATAAAAACCCCCACCCCCCACACCTCCCCTGAGACAATGAAGGCTTTCCACATGCCAAGATTCTCACACCACCAGTCCGTTCTTGCAATGTGCAGCTGAAGGTCATTGTGCTCTCTCTCCATCAGAGTAATTTCATCCTTCAGCTTAGAAACAATCTGCAGAGGAAAGTTTGTTGATTATAATTGGTAAGAAAAAGCTTATGCAACATGCCTACCCCCCATACCTCGCCTGAGACAATGAAGGCTTTCCACATGCCAAGATTCTCACACCACCAGTCCGTTCTTGCAATGTGCAGCTGAAGGTCATTGTGCTCTCTCTCCATCAGAGTAATTTCATCCTTCAGCTTAGAAACAATCTGCAGAGGAAAGTTTGTTGATTATAATTGGTAAGAAAAAGCTTATGCAACATGCCTAGTTGTGTCTTTAGGGACACTATTCAGAAAGGAGAGAAGGTACAAAAGCAGGGAGAGAAAGAACACTTCACATGGGAAAAAAATCGTGAGAGAATCTATGATGCCTCTTATAAACTATACGCAGTAATCTTAAACGTCAACTCTGATACTAGAATAAAAAACAAGTTAGAAGGATATGCTACTATCACACTACCAGCATAAAAGGCACTTTAGATAGGATTATATATTACACAGATACATTACACATTATATGTTTTATACAAACTTGAATTGCAATTACTGAAATATGCATTACTGAAGACACCCTCCTTACCATTTTCAGATATACATGATGCAACCGAAGAACGTGGGAATAGATTTCATTTTTAGGAACTTAGCTATGTTAACAATCACTCAGAAAGTCACCACTTAATTCATTTTAGTTTTGGAAAGGGAAGGATTTATTATTGTGGAAAGCACACATTTAAAAAGATGTTCTCACCAAGACATAGCTCATCGTCATAATCTCATAAAGGAGAAATACTGTATCTCATCACATCAGCAAAAAAACTAGGTGACAATACATACTACCAGAAGACAGTATGACAAGAAAAGGTGGAAGTATACATAAGATGTGACATTAGAAACATAGCAAAAGAAGCTAACACTTTTTTTTTAAAATATGATATACCACATAGTCAAATTTATGAGTCTTTGTTGTACAACTTGCACCACAAGTGGTACATTCCACAGAGCTACAGTAATTCTGACTTTTTCAGAATTTTTGTCTCATGTAAGATGTTAAATATTATCTACACAGCAGCTATATAACAACCTTCTAGCATATACCTAACCTTCAGAATAATTTTGTATTTTATTTTATTTACTGTCAACATACAGATTGCTCTGCAGTCACCTTACACGGACTCCTATAAGTGGCATCCAGGAACAATCAATAAATACAGAAGAACTGGTAAGGTTTCATCATAAGTAAAGAGCTGCTACGCCTATAAAACAAATACTGAGACTTTATAACGATACTGGATCCATTTTATTATTCTGTTTCAATGATGTATATATTTTCAAAGACAAAGAATATTTTCGGGGGGAAAAAAATACAGGGGAAAAAACCACTACTTTTAGAAGGGGTACAATCCCCACCTCCCCAAGAGCTTAGGTATAGAAAAAATACAGCTATTATTTCTCAAGAACGCAAAGGGAACATACAAGTGATACATCCATGCGAATGCAACAATATATAAAGGTTTAGTTATATAGTACTTTTCATATAAAAGAAAAAAATTAGAACTATAATGCTACAGAAACAAATGGTATGGCCTAACTCATGCATACACAAGCACACCCACTTTTGGTTAGTACTTATTTTGTACTTCTAACTCTTTTTGTCCATGGTGCAAATTTTAACTTAAAACCTAGTTGATTATAAGAGCACCTCTTACAATTTCTCAAAGCGAGTTTTATGTTCGCTCCTGGTACAGGTCCACTGGAAATAACGAAAGATCTGAACAGGTTAACATAAAATCCCTCCAACTTCCACATAATTCCTGATAAAGACGGAGGCATTTTTCCATTCAGTAAAGTCCCATTTAATTTCAACAATTGTGTCACACAGTTTTGTTTGAAAATAAGCCTTAGCAAGCACTAGAAAGTGCTCTGGGTGGGGAACGTTAAGGTTTTGATTTGCTACTGAGGATGACAAGATTGAACACTAGAAAGAATGTGGTCCCTGCACATTTACTGTGACTTTCACTGTCCCTGTGACAAGGTGCTCTCACACTGTCAACCCCAACTGTCCATTTAAAAGCTCCACAGGTAAACGCCACTGCAGTAATACAGGCATAAATAAATAAAAAATAATAAATTTTGAAAAGGGGGACAAAAGGGACACGGGGACAAAAGGGACACATCCATGCTCCTACCACTCCAAACAGTAGTGGCTGGATGACAAATAAGAGGTCTCTTCTGCCAGCTGAAGCCACACACACAGCAGAGCAGCTGTGAGCGGGACACCCCAGAACAGCTGCGGACACATTTCCAGTTATCCGGAGTAACCTCTGTCAGAAGGGGGATGTGGAAGAGACAGAGGGAATGAAGCTAGCCAGGGTGGCGTCAAACACTACTGTCCACATCTTTCTCTTAGAGGTAGCTATCCCCAGAGCTGGGGCAGCAGAGAATGAGCTGGGTGTCAACTTCTATTCAGACCAGCATCTTAGCACTCACCCTGAGTGAAGGAACAAATGTACGAAGAACCCAGGTCCTGAGCAACGGCTAATATCCAGGTACATTTTTGCCATCCCTAGCAGGAGGCCATTTTAGGGACGCGCCTTGGCTACTTGTTCGTCTCGCCCACCGTCTACCATTTGCAACCAATCTCATTACCCCTGAAAAGCTTGGCCCAGCTGCATCTGAGTAACAGTCCTGTAATATCACCCTCAGTAGCAATGCAAATTACTTGGCCTCGGCCAAATGCAAATCACTTGCTTCTGCCTGAATATGTTCTTCGATTGCTTAACTGTTGCACTTTGCAAAACGAAAGAGATTTTTTTTTTTTCAATCCAAGCCCAGAGAGCCGAAGTTTCATATCCCTCATAATTTTTAGTCTTATGAAAGTGTGCCCTGCAGACTTCTCCTAGCTCCTTATAAAGGAAATCAGCCACTTGTACAGGTTGGGGGGGGTGGGGGGTGTCCCCTTTATTTGAGCAAGCCAGTCACAACTGTAGAGATTATGAAATTGTGCTGTGCTATTTCAAAGCCAGCAGAGGGAGCGGAAGTTAACTAGCACATCCCTCCGCTGCAGTGCTGCAGATGCGGCAGGGACACGAAAACAGCTGCCATGAAGAATCATACAGATATAGGTGGGTAGAGATGTAAGAAAGAAATACTATTTGCCACTGACAAAGCAGCAAGACCACTGGGAGAGAGGTCATTATTCTATGACAAACAAAGCAATCTGAATCATATTTGCAATTTTAGTTACAATAGCTTTAAAAAAATTGGAAAAATAAACAATTAAAACTAAGCTCTGGTTTCACTTTCTATAACAGGCTGATAGAAATAGCAATCTGACCTATCCAAAAAGAGCCCGAGACAACTGGATATTACACAAACACACACATAACATATATATAAAAAAAAAAAAAAAGACTGAAGACACTAAAGGTACTTACCTTTTTGTCGGGTTTTGGTGAATTACATATGGAATTTAAAGCCTGTTTCTTATACTCAAGCTTGTCATTTAGCTGGCGAAGTTTATTTACAGCATAACTGGCCTGTTCATTAATTCTTGCGCTGCATTCTTCAGTAGCTTCTTCACAATCTTGGCTCTAGGAATAGAGGATGGGAGTAATTGCATCACTAATATTAAAAAGGAGACAGTTATTGTTTGCTCCATAACTTTTATGTATAAGAACACTTATTCTTGTTATAGACGAAAATGTAGGTATAAGATTCTAACCGATATTCCAACCATCAGATCCAACACGAAACATAAGTCTGTTAAAAAAAAAACAAAAAACAAAAACACACACCCCCCAAAAAAAACCCAAAACACCACCCCAAAACCCAGACAAAGCCTCATTACCATTTATACTACAGCTCTTTGGCAACTCTTGCCAACTGTGTAAAATGACCTTCAAGCTAAGGCTTTAGTGTAAGTGAGAGGAAGAATCAAAGTTTATTTTAAAAGCAACAACAGCTTAGTAGTCATGATCAATATTCCGAGCCAGATAGAAAAGCAAATACTTAGCTCTGAGCTGAAAGATAATGAGACTGGGGTGGGGGGAACCCAAAACCCCTCAGTTCTAACAGTCCTGCCTCCCACAAACCTTCACAAAACAGATTTATCAGCCTGCAGAACAACCTAAACCAAGTCCTTTCTCTTCATAAACAGATTTTACTGCTGTTTTTAGAAGTGTTAATAAAAATGGGTTAAAAGCACACATATATCACACCCTAAACACCTAAGCAATTTTCTTATATTCATTCAAACCAATAGCTTTTTCCATCTTGTGTACTACAGGCATGCAAAAAAAAAAAAAAAAGAAAACTTCACACCTTTCAGTGACATTCTCTTTAACATATTTTGGCACTTGCCTCAGCCTCCCCTTTCTTACTGTATTTCCCCAAATAGGCACGAAGACCTTGAGATCCAGCAAACACAGCACTGTGATGTTACTGTTGCCATGTTCAAAGATCTTTGAGGTCTGCCTGTGACTGACTATATCTTAATTTATCTGTGGGAAGCTATGAATCTAATCTCATGAACGAGAGTTCCATGTTATTTAATGATAGTCCCACTAAGTAAGCTGTATCTTTATATAATTAACAAAAAGCTAACAGAAGGAAGTCTCACACTCTACTAAATTCTGCTTTAGAGAAGACAATCCTACTGTAAATTCTGCGGTATTTTACATCTCAGTAAAAAAAACTCTAGAGAAGAGATACAGTAGCAACAATAATTAATCTCCTTAGTGTGATCCTCATAAGGGAGGGTAACATAACGCAGAAGTCAGGAGTTCTAGGCTAAGAAATCCATGCCCTTTTCCAGCTCTGCATTTGCGTGCTATGTGGCTGAGTAAATAACATTAGCTCTATGCCCCATCCTTTCTTCTGTCTACTCTGCATGGACTGTAAACTCCTCAGGTCAGAGACTGCCTCCAAGCATGTGTACAGAGCTCAGCTCGTGGAAGCTTGTTGTCATCTCCTGGCACTACAATAATACGAACAATAATAATTAACAACACTGGGTGTTATTCAAAACACTATTGAACAGAACCATAAAATAAAAACTTATACTTGTTGGGAAGCACAGAGGTCAAAAAGAATAAAAAAAATGCTACTTTCAACACTGAAGAATTAAAAGACTTTCCATATGAAGTTTGGTTCTAGTACTCAAAGGATTGCAATTAACGACAAATCAGTAAAGCTCTGCTCCCAGAGGTAGGCTACAAGATTTCTCTGTCATTAACATTTCAGACACTTACAGCAAAAAACACTTGCTGAATCACTAGGTTTAATCACAAAAATGCTAGAATTACAAGATAACAAGTTACCTGTATCTGGTAAATTAGATAATTTGAATAAACAACCAACACACTCAAAGCTGAGATCATAAAGGATTGTGCTATTTTCCCCCGATTGTTAAACTGATAATGACTTCCATTTCTGTGAGTGCTGCAGAATGCAGACTTTGGGCTTATTTTAGCGATCTGACACATGCAGCACCAATGCAACCACCAGACCCTCTTTCTTCAAAGTGCTGAATGCACGCACTGTTTGCTTCTGTGTTTTTACATCTACCTGTGACCTTTTGAAGGAGGTTTGTCCAAGGAGCGAAAAATGGTGACGGATTGGAAGGAAGAAGAAAAAGCTTGTTCCACCTGCAGTAGAACCAGCAGGGTCTGTCCTTTGCCCCGATTCCTACCTTCTGATTTGATTTTCTCACGTTTAATCAGGGGTCACCCTTTTGTCCTCCCCTCCATGAGGGCACTAGATGGCTTTTTACCTATCCAGCGAAATTTATAGAAAATTAACATAGGTAACTCCTACAGTACCCCAGGAAGTGAGGACATAGACCTCCAAAACCCAAACTAAAAAAAACCAATTAGTATTTGCTAATGATATAGATCCCTCCAGAAACATCAAATTTCTCAGCTATGTTTTCCTATACAAGGGGAGGAAAAAAAAACCCCAAACCTATTAGCCAGTAGTGCATTTCCACCAACATTTGAAAGCCCACTGGAAGCTTCAGAAAGAAGAATTTCTTATAATTTATTTTCACCTCAAAGACCCTGAAGCATGGCACAGAGCCATTAGGATTGCTCTATTCAAGAGATGCTCCAACCATATACGCAATTTCATACTTAATTTGTTGTTAAAAAATGCAAAAAACTTTAACCATATAAGCAAACTTGGCAATATATTAGCCTTTAACATTTCACAGCAGACACAGCCTTCAAATCTGGCACATATATATCTAAGGACTCAGAGGAAGGACAGATGATGCTGATGTCAAAAATCTAATTTTTTGGCAGCTATAGTATATGTTATTCTGACAGAGGACAGCTAGCCCTAAAGTGTTGTGTCAGTTTTCTTAGAGAAATGGTTATCTCTGTTAGACTCTGAATAAAACAGAGAGAGAGATTAAAAAGCACAACGTTTAATTTTCTGGACAAAACCAGCAACAGTCTTTTCTCCAAGTCCCAATGGTTGCAGACAAGGACAGAAAGTCTTTGAAATACCTACCACCCTCAACACATAGCTGGGTTAGCAGTGAGAAAAGTAGAAAACACGTCTTGAATCTTTTATCAAGGAAAAGAATACAGGGAGAAACAAACAATGAAAAATTCAGGAAGCTCTAAAAGTTCATATTGGAAGTAATTTACTTATAACAGCTCATCTCTGCAGATTTGCTGATACGCAGACTACGGAGACTGTAATAGCTCACCTACAGAAATGGAAGTCATATTTAAGCAGTAAATACAAAAGCCTTAGGTTCTGGAAAAAGTGCTTCTAAATGGCAGAACGTAGATCTGCACCTCTGGATTCTGCTTCTTATTTGTCCATTTAGATCCAGTTTTAGACAAACTATTACACTTCATTGTGTTCTTGTAAACATGTAAAATGACGATATTCACGCTGATCTGAAGTGGCAGCCTGACTGAAAGATGCTCACTAGTCTGAGAGATGCTCTTGTCAAAATGTTCTCAGATAAACGTAACACAAGTTCCCCCGACGTGACCAATTTAGAGAACCCACTGAAAAAACCTGCCCCAAGAGAGCTGCCGCTGGGTTATTGCTCACGACATTTTGAATGCTCTGGTTTAGTATTTCCAGTTCTAGTGCTATTTTAATCAGTTTTATCTTCCAACATAGCCTATTAATTTATTCAATAAATTAATAAAAAAGCACTAAGACTGTATTTTTCATGACTTTTTCTCCTCTTTTGTGCAACCTGTTTAGTACCTAGGAAATGCACGGGGGACAGGGGCAGACAATGTCTAGACAGAAACCTACTCATGTTTCAGTGAGATTTCCTTCATTGAAAAGCAGAGCGGCTGAGCTTGTTGAGTATGTTTTGCATTCTCCGATACTAAGGAGCATAACGAAAGATACAGAATACGAAAGGCTTGGAAATCTGAAATACCTACTTTAACTAACTTAAAGTTTACGTAGCCAGTCATTTTGTACCATTTTGTTTGAAAGAGCTTGCAAACATACCAGGTTTACCTGATGAAACTGGAAGAGTGATGATATTTATAAATACATCAGAAAAAAAGTAGTCCAAAGCTCAAGGACAGAAGATGCTACTATATGCTTTACTCAGAATCGTCTTCAGATCACCTTAAGTAACAGTGAAAGAAACTATCCATGTGACTCACCACTTCATCTTTGTCCTCAGGAGTTGGCTGAGCAGAACTTCTTTCTTCTTCCTTCTTGACTGATCTCTCATATAAATCACTGACAATGAACGAGGGGTAGTATCTGTCCTTTAGAGTTTCGTAAACATCTGCCTGAATTCTGTAGAATACTTCAATGCCTTTATTTCCCACGAGGCTTTGCTGTATTTCTTTATAAAGGGATTTTTCCACAGGTATTTCTCTGCTTTCCACAAAAAAATTCTGATAAATTTCACTCACCAGTTGAGGTATTTCAGCCTAGGAAGCAAGGAGGGAGACAGAGGGAGGAGAGAATAATAAAATGTTTAAAATAGCAGGATGACTCAGGATCCAGGTGCATAATTTGAAGGACGGTCAAACTAATTTCACACCCAGATGTATGAGAACACATCTGTGAATCTCTTACTGAGATCAAGCACTCTGCCTGCGCACCTATGCTAAGCAGTCAATTTCACAAGATAAATATTGATATTTGTTAAGTGAAGAAACAGCTGTGCTCTAAAATTACCATAGCTTCCACATCCACTGCTTTTAAAAGTATGCTCCAAAAGCTGGTATCAAAAGGAAAAAAAAAAAGTGCTAGAGCAACATTGTGGTCACCGTTTTAAGTTCAGATTGTAGAGTTCAGCTATATCGGCTCTCCTGTCTTCTGTTTGATAGGATCAACTCACTTATGTGACTATAATTAATTTTTGAGGGGGAAAAGAAAAAAAAAAAGAAAAAAGCACACCTGAAGAGACATTTAGCAGTACACAAGGCCCGGTATTTCCACTGAGCACAGAACAGCGCACAGGGTTGAACTTTGCAGTAACGAACAGGAAAGAGAGGAAGTAATGCAGCACAGCCCATGATCATCTCTCTAAATTATAATCTCTCTGAATGGACCCGAATTAAAAAGGTTTTACGCACTCCCTTAGTATGGCACAATGAGCTTGCCTGCCTTATGTGACAACGTCACAGCCACATGGCTGCATGATGCTACTTTTTTGTAATCAAAGCTGCCCCTGTAGTGGCAGACAACCCTTACGTTCCATGGAGCAACAGGAGCACAGTACGTTAGAATCTCTTTTAAAAAAATGGGAAGTCTTGAATAAAGGCACTATACATATTGTTTTGAAAGCAAGGAGAGAAATTACAGCTGAAAGGTCGTTAAAATGATTTATAGCACCTTTTCCAATCACAAGCAGTTTGCAAGTCAAAACTGATTTATACAACTCTCTTCACAGTGCCTGACAAACCCTTTTTATGAACACTTTCTTGCCTGAGTTGGTTGTTAGCCATTTCTTCAGATCGTATTAATGGCTCACTACTCACGCTCCACAACTGGCCACTTTGGTTACAGGATGTTATTTGTGTTTTACAATGGACTAGAATCTATTTTACATAGCAAAGTAATAAAATTACAGCGAATAAAAAGTTAACTGATACTTAATAATGAAATTTGTATTTCATGCTAGTGTGAATCCTGGAGGTTTAAAACAATTTCCCCCAAAAATCCACTGCTCACGAACAGCAAATTTGTCCTCTACATTCTTGCTCTGCACCATTGCTCCAGGATACTTCTTGCAACGTTAGGTGATATTTCCTACACCTGTTTCAGGGTTCTCGTTCCTACTTTATTTTGGCACAAATTACAAGATAGCATTGTTTCTTCCCTCTAGCAGTAGTGTGACATTCCTGGAGAAACTTAGCTGCTTATACAGCACCAGAACAGGGAGAGGAAGGGGTCTTTTAAGGCAAAATCTCTCTTTCAAAAGGATTTTAAAGATATATATACACAAATTTTCACAGCTTCAGATTGAATGGGATACCTGTAACTGGGAAGATGAGAAGTTTACGTATGCACTATCAAACTGTAATGCACTTTGAAGTTTCACATGAGCTGATACAACTAAAGCCAATATACTACTGCAAGTTTTTTCTCTGGTGAAGGGAAGTAATTCTACTACCTTTGTACATCAAGTATCCTTTTTACAGGTCATGTTGCTACACAGAACAACGGTAAGCCATCATCACAACAGTCCACAATTTTTAATTGCCATATTATCCCCAAACATTGACATGGAGAAGTTAAAAAAACTAAGTTGCTTAGCACCCATCCTATGCTATTGCTATTTTAGAAACATAAATACAAAGACATTTCCTAACATCAAGACCACAACAAGCAGAGATTGCAGTTAATGTACGAGCCGCATGGACTTGTAATTTCTTCCACCTTGTTAGCATTCTTCAGATACTCCACAGATTCCCAAAGACTGATCAAAGCCATCTTGTCCATCCTTTCCATGTAGATTCGGAAGTGCTCTCGGTATGAAGGGTTGGCCAAAATTTCTTCAAACTGAAGAATCTGAAGAAAGGAAAACTAAGAGTAAAACCTGGGAAAATACCTAACTCTAGCTTCTCTCCATCCCTCATGGGGAAAATCTTTTCACTTGATTTGTCCCCAGAGCACCATGCATCCCGCAAACACATGAACTAGGTTCAACTGCACAGGCGTCCTACAGTAATAGTTTTGCTTCATTTAAAAAAAAATAAATAGAAAAATAAAAAATATGAGTTGTAAGTATTTAGAAGATAAATGCATCTATGCTCCTACCAGGTAGAGGATGTTTCCACATGTTTTCTGTCCAGGAGGTAAGACTACATTTCAAAGGACTAAGATAGCATTTCATGAATGACTTGAAATGCTATTGCCAAAAATTTAACTTCCAATGTTCCTGCAAGGCAGAGGAGCCAAGCTGAAAGCTAACTGATCTATTCTTTGCTTGATTCAAACAAAGATTAACACCAGCAGTTTCCACGCCACAGGGCTTTAAGATGTAACTCAATTATTCCCGGGGACACAGAAAAGATGGAGTGTAGTTCTTTACCCTGGCAGCTAGGGCATTTGGTGGCCAGTTCCCATTAACTGAATGTTATTGAAAAACATCTATCAGAAATGCAGCCAGGGAAGAGTACAGCTGTGATATAATGCTCAGGACTCTTCCTGAGATGAAAGAAGAGCGTGTACGTCAAGCAGAAAAGGAAATGAAACACAGACTTCCCACACCTAAGTAGATGCTGCAGCCATTAAGCTGCTGGATTAAAAAAAAAAAACACTATTACTTCCTCATCCTCTACTATTTTTGTGAATCCAGGCCTTTTCTTTGAGACAAACACCTGAAAACAAAACACCTCCCTGACAAAGTGAACGGATCTTCCCATGTTGAACAAAATGAACAACCTTGGCTTTCTTTGAAAAACAGGACCAATTTTCAAAACACCCTGTCAAAACTAAACATCCCTTCCTCTCCAACTTTTCACTCTAGCAACTGAACCAGTTTTCATGTAGTTCATTTAGTGCCATTACTTATATCACCAGGAATCCAAATACACCAGAGTGGTCTTGGTGTCTTGCTTTGTACCTCACAGACACCAACCAACCCACCCCTTTTTCTTTGAAAAGAAAAGCAGGTCCTCAAGCACTGGGGCTAATGAATCTGAGCTTCCTATGACTTTGCATTTTATAGCAAAGATAATTTGGTACAGACCAAGATGTGAATTCCAACCAAGATTGAGGCATTAGTAATTTATCTAACATGGGTTTTTCAATACCTAATAATAATACAATTCAGGTCATGTATCAGCATCTCTCTCTCTGGGAAGGCCATGTGTTTTCCTAAACCTGGTACCCGTGAGACTCTACCACCAAGTTACATTTAGGAAAAACGGTTTGCTGGACTCAAGCTGTATGGCAGGAAACCACATACACATGCATGTACACAATTATTAGCACAAGTCACTTCCTTAATGAACTAAGCTAAAGAAGGTTCTTTAAAAACTATAGCCACCTATGTTTTATCTGTAACAGCACCCCCAAATTTTGGGCAGTGTTTAAGTAAATCATGTTTGTCTCAGCTGAAATGCTCATTTTCATCCTCAAAGTTCCTCAGTGACAGTCATGTGCCACTCCTCTCTTCATCCTTTACCATACCACTATCATCTGGACACGGCTTGCTCTTAGCTTGAGAGCTATTCAGGTATATGAACATAAACTTCAGCCTTTCAGAGCTCACTCTATAGTCCTCATTGAACTGCACAGAGGCACTTGCGGAAGCTAGGCTTATTACAGAAATGGTGATCAGACTGTCAAAGACAAGAACACAGAGATGACAATTCAAAGGCCAGTCTGTGTTTTAGCTGTTTAGCTCATTGCTGTGCATCACCATACTTTCTATTCAATCATTTTATCAAGAACAATGATTTAAAATACAGGCGGAAGAGGGTCTTCCAGCCTGTCGAACAGCAATCTTCACCATCTCCAGGACTGTCAGGTCTGTAAGTGACAGCAGAGGTAATAAGTCACTCACAATGCAGGGCACATGACGTCACTTCTTGAGCAAGAGGTCACCTTGGTCTCTCTGCTTCTATTATCCAAGGTATCCCCACCCAGGCTGCCAGCAAGGAGAGTAATTAACAAACATCCCCTCTCAAAAGTAATTGTGCATAAGTGCCGCTGCAGGGAGCAAGGCAAGCGCAACCATCCCTCTCACCTAACAAAGGGCCCATTGCACAGATGCCCCACGGTAATTAAAGTGGTGATGTCTAATAATGCTGTTACACAAACCTCCCAACAGTTACCTTGCAAACTGAAATACTTCAACAAAATAAATTAATGGACAGAAAAGCTTATTTAAACTTCTCCTGCAGAAATGAGACCTCACAAACTTTATGGTTTTGTTTGTTTAAGGCTTGACTATCCTGGAATTATTATAAGCATTTTATTATAAGAATTATTATAAATATTATTAAGACTTCAACGGCAACAATGACAGACAAAAGAGGGGTTTAGGTTTGAGGTGGTAAGTTATTGTAAAATGCATGCAATCCAGGAAGTATTCTGTGGAGGATCCTTCCTCCTCTGATTTAAAGAACCAGATTCTGCAGTAATTTATAATCCTCAGCAAAAGATCATTTTATGACTCAATATCACCACAGACTAGAGTACAAAGCTCTAAGCTATGTTGGCACATATGCACACATTAGGGCATGTGTACACCCTCAAATCTAATATCCAGTTAGAAGATATAATCTTAAAATTATCAGCCTCAACAGCAACCCTTCAAGTCCTTTTAACTCAAGAGCAGCTTCCCGGTTCAGAAAAAACAGCAGCTTTACTGCTGCCACATCCATTCCCTACTCCAACAGGAAAGTAACTAATATACCACAGCTGGTCACAGGCTCTGCCAAATACCAGGAAGGGACTAGATTCCGCTCCCCGCCCCTGCCAAGCATGGTGCTTTAACCAGCATCCCTAGCATACGCACACAGAATAGCCTTGTTCCTGGCCCTACAAAGTAGAGACCTGGTCTTGGCAAGTCCCTAAAGACAGTCGCAACCTCCCTCTGGAGAGGAACATAAAACAACTACTTCATTTGGAAGGGCCTGCATAGGCACCAGACACAGCACAGATGCACCGTACCGTATTTCTTTGCAACACGCCAGGTTCCCATTCGCCACAACCACATTGGCCTATAACGAATAAGCACAATACAGCTAGTAACAGCACTGCAGATCATGGGTGGGGTGAACAGAATTTGGGTCAGTACTGGAGGTTTTCTGCTGGGATGATGGCACGCAGCCAGACTGCAGGACTTCTCTTTTCGTTTTTCTCTTTTTTGTAGAAGACAGGAACAAGAGGAACATAAAAAATAATACTGGAAAAATGTGTCTCTTTCCAAGCTGCATTTTAAAAACCATTAACTAATGCTTTGTCTGTACACTGACTAAAATTAAAGCATATATTCTTCGTATTATTTTTTAAAAAGAGGCAAGTCATCAGAAGGATATCTTTGTCATATACAGCAGTAGCTGAACCAAATGCAATGATTAGTTACCTATCAGGAAGTATATGCTACATAAGGTATCTGACTATTTTACTGCACATATACTAAGGGAAAAATCCCTGCCTTAAGACTCACATGTTCATGAACATACTTCTGTCATAAGACACCCCATCTTCAGGCAACAGAGGAACAACAATTGAAGCTCGCTTCCTTTTTATCCCTAAATTCTGTACCATGAGGTATCCTGACATAACGTGATCTTACAACCTGAAGCTCGGAAATCACAGTCACCGGTTAAATCAGCATCTATCCACGGATGTGGTGGAAGTAAGGTCTTCTACAGGAGTTTCAACTTAGTCCTCATCAGCAGAATTATGAATATTAACTGCCTGCACCTCAAAATATATTCAGGTGGTTTCCTTGCTATTTCACAGCTAGTCAAGGATCAGATCCTCAGAGCTGCTTCTACCACCCACGGGTCACAAAACAGCTCCACTAAGGAGATGCTGTGACTCCACACATCAAATCTCACATACGTGGTGATGTGGCTGTTGTGCTGAACACAACGGATCAAATGGTTTGCTGAATAAACACAGACAACAAGAACTCAATTAATTACTGCAGTACTCTGCAGGTACAGTTTCTAAGAAAAAGGACTAAAACTACACTGACCATAAGTAGATTAGAAGAGATGCTTTATATATTGCACTAATTCAAGCTGAATTTTCTCTGAAAGCAAATCTAACACCCAGGGCAGAGTATGAATCAGTATCAGAGCTAATGACAGAATTCAGATTCAGAGAGTAGCTGGGGTTTGTTTGTTTGTTTGCTTGCTTATAAACATTTGATTATAATTCACACATTAAGGATTTCCCTAGAGAACCCAGATTCAGGATAATGAGGTGAGTGAAACATGTGCAAAGTCGATACAGTCCCTTGACTTTTATGTATTTATCAAACAGAAAACTGACATTTTATAATTAGCTTCTGCTGTGAAAGGAAAAAAAAGTATTTCAAAGCACGTAATTTTTGTTTCTTAAATCTGTAAGAGGAGAACATTGACAGCTCCAAATAATAATCCATCTCCACATTGAAGCCCATAATCAGAACATGCATTAAAGACTTTTACCAGCAATGCTATTACTCCCCTACTACTGCAGGAAAGGGAAAGCTTTCTGTAGGATGCGGAAGTGAAACCAAAATAGAAGTTTAGGTCACTAGTCAATTTGTTCTTTGTTCAACTAGTACCAAAAATTCCCCAAAGTTAATAATGTATTCAAGCTTCTGTACTACACTTACATAAAATAATAATTCAAAACACCATTGCTGACCTATTTCATTCAAGTTGAAGAAAGGAAGGCAAACTTCCAGTTTCTTCTAAACAAGCTAGTTATTTTGCAGGTTAAGTGCTAGCTTAACAGAAAAGCTGGCACAGCCAGACTCTAAAGAGAAGTTACGGGACACCAGCAGTGACATATCAACATTAGCTTGTCTACTAAATCCCAAACAATGCCTTTCCCTTTTGCTTAGAAAAAGGCCTGAGTGCTCAGTCAATACTGCCCACGTGGGACGGGCCGGCATCCAAAATAGCACTGGCTGCCTTGAAGTAAGAACCCAGACTGCAGCTGCAACAGTGCAGCGAGTCCCCTTCCTCAGCCAAGCCCTGGGCATTTTTCTGTGCTCAGAAGAGAACAGCGTGGCCTCTGTCCCTCATCCAGCCTCTCTCAGCCTCTTCCCTGGCAACAGATAATTGGGGACAACAGAAGAGAGAAGCAGTTTTCCTGTTTTCTATGCTGACATGGGTGTAGAGGCGTTCTAGGGCTTCTTCATAGAAACACATGAAAAGCTTAGAAGCAGAGCAGCCCCGGATCCCATTGTTTCCACCATCACTACAACAAACGCCTGTGCAAGGAGTCTTTATTCTTATTAATAGTTCCATTAACTCAATATGGAGCTGCTTATGGGTATATTTGCAAGTTATAACCCTGGGTCAGCAGCTCCCACCAAAAATCCATCAGGTCATAAAACATGGAATGTTAGCAACAGGAATTCCTTTGATTTTATTACAGTAATATTATATTTTATTATATTTCTGACCAATCCCTGCCCCTGTCCAGCACAGCTTCACTACTTGACCCCGTTCCTGAACAATCTTACGTCGCCATGTATCTAGTCTGGAAAGTCCGTAACACCTCAGCAGGCACCAAAAGTGGCATCAGTGGCTCATGCGGTGCTGCCACATGCTTCCCTCTTCCCTTTTCTCCTTGGCACGTCTCGCTACACCCAACTTCAGGAAACAGATTAGGACTGCCTTGGCACAATCTATGACACACCATCTGAAATCATGCTTTAAGGACGAGTGGGGAGGTAGGGAATTGTTCTCTTTCAGACCTTACTCAAGAAAGACAAAACACAAATAGTAAGAACTATTTCTCCGTCATGCAACTTTTTCTTACGTGCCACTGTTACAATTATTATAAGGACATAATGAAAATTAAAGATCCCTGCATGAAGAGATAACTTCTCTTCTGCCTACATGAAAAAGATAAAATCTTCTTTCTAATTTGAATATATCAATTACTGTGCTTTGCCCAAAGGGGACAGAGTACATTACACAAGGAAGCCACTAAACTTAGCAAGTTTAGCAAGGGTAAGTAGCCATGATTTTATTTTTGTAGAGGCTGGCTAAAACAAGTTATTTTTTCAATTCCAGACTACAGTGATGTTGAAAACCAGCATTCAGTCAACAGCTTTACCAGAGCTTTTCTGCAATGACTGCCCTTAATTTTGTCAACTGCCTTCCACAAGTGTTTGCTTTTGAATAACTCTGTATTTACAAACCCCACAGGTATTTCCTACGGTAAATATAACAAGGGCCAAAGAAACATTGCACATATGTTGGCAATCTTTTATTTGAAAGTAAGTTGCTACCTTCAAAAAGGCCGCTACCATGTCCTTATTAACTCCCTACATGCAGTATGTCTGAAAAATGACACGTGCTTACAAGCCACTCAATCCTTTATGAAGTTTCACATTTAGCAATATTCCAAGCTGAGTGATCAGTATGTCTTTTCAGGTACTTCAGTTATCTTTTCCCAAGATAAATAAACTATGCAGCAATTAATTTATACTTGTCTCCTGGGGGAAGGGAGGAATTAATGACAGTGAGGCTAATATGATCCAGCGCTAACACATTCAGAATGATCTTCAGACAATGTATGTGCTATTCGATTTATACCTTCTGACTCTGAGGGCCATCGCCTTCATCAGAAATGCCATCTTCCTGCGCCATCTTCCTGCTTATCATAAGCAGGCCCTCCCAGGAGCCTTATTCTCTTCTCGCATTGCTTCTTTGCCACTGTCAGCTGATTAATATACCTCTTCACATTGCGAGCCCTCAGTAGGTCAGCTTTCATTGCCGCAGTTTCTTTTCCTTTTGAATCTAAGGATAAAGCAAATCAGAGACAGTCTTTTACAACATGAAAACATCATCGCACCATTGCCTCTGTGACCTGCCTGATCAAAGCATTTGTCATTCAGGAATCAACTATGCACGTGGGCACAGATACTGGAAAGTTTGTATTTGAAACAGAATCATGATTTTGAAACATTCTCCAATGATACCTCAAGGGTTTATATAAAACAGTTCAGAAAAAAATCCTTATCGAAACGTCCAGTGAAATCTGACCCCTCCAGCTCTCGTCCTATAGCTTGCTGCAAGACACAGGCCCAAGACTTGTACTACAGGATGTACATTTATCAGATGGCATTAGAAGTTACCTACAGCCATGGCGTACGATAACACATGGAACTGACAGCTTATGTACCTTACTAAACATAACATTGACTGCCTAGAGTCGTGAGGGACTAGACTCAGTCCTCTCCAGCCCGGCATTACACGTTCCCACGCATCTCATCTGCAAATCCACATTTCTTGAGCCTGATATGAACAGCACATCATACAGTATCTTCTCCAGACAACAACACTGACTGAAGCTCACTCAAAATGGTGAGACGACTAAGAAAAAAAAATAAATCTTATAATGCCAAGTCAAGACAGCACAGTACTGTTAAATAGTGAGGTAACACAAAGATGACAGTCAGTTGAGTAAGACTCAGTAATAAAAGGTGTAATGTTTGTGTATTCTACATTCCAGCCTCTTCAGCTAATTACCAGAGCCTAAAAAAAGAAGCAGCAGATAAAGCAGATTAAAAACCCCTATTGTGTTGAAATCGTTCTGGTTTATATCTGCAGGATGCAACTGATTTACATTTATACCCTGGTTTTATTTTCCTCTTGTTCAATGATAATACTCCGACTTTTCCAGGCTGCAACTAGAGCTCGGTAGCAAAGCATCTGGCTTGTACTCGGCTCTGGATTAATTGATTGTTCAGGGATAAATAATAGAGATCTATTCTACTATGTTTTCGAAATATCAAATGCTAGTAAAATGATGTAGATGAAAACAGCGTTCCATTTTCGAAACAGGTGCTGGAAAGAAACAACCAGACAGCTAGGTTTGTGAATGCATACACAGAAAAAGGAAATCTCTTCGGAATGATTTAAAATAGGTATTTTAAACACATTTCTAATACATTAAGGTACCTTTTCCTTTTAGGACTGTTTTCATCCTTTTATTTCCCCCTCAAAGCCACATGTAACTACTGCATGTGACCATAAGTTTTGTCACTTGTGTACTGAAGGACAACTCAAGGTACACGGAGCTCCCTGAATTTCTACACGTGATGCGATGTGAGTACAAATATTCTCCCGAATCTTTTCCCATATTTTTAATCTCACTTTATTCGCTGCATGTATTTATGTATGTTGGTAGAGAACCTTACTGATTCAAGGACTGTTAGTGTTTTAATGGATAAGTATCATTTGCATCTGAGCTGCCATGTAATAGTGAACTACAGAGATGATACTCACTGAAGCAAATGATAAAATGAGTTTACCATGAAAAAAAAATAAGCCATCTGTTTTCCTGGCATGTTATCTCCACAGGGAAGTCAACAGAGCATTTAATTTAGTGTTTCAGTTCCCTGACCAGAGGTACCAGTATTAATGAGAGAAAAGGAAAGGAGAACAACAAAAGGCAGGAAAAGACCTCAAGGACAAAATAGCTCTCCCCCTCAATTTAAGACATTTACAGCTAATACAAATACATGGACAGCAGTTTAAAGTGAAGATTAAAACCAAACATTTCCCCTCCTACACTTGACTCTAAGATGATTTTTAGAAGCTCTCAATGGTCTCAATAGTTTAAATACTTTGGGCTCAAAATGCATACCTGAAAACCCACACTTTGAAAGCCCATGACCAGTGCTGCACAATGGTCATTCAGCCTTCTTAAAACAAAAGTACCCTTCTTAGAGAAAACAAGGCATTCTTGGAGGGTTTTCAAAGTAAGCATATCTACTTTACCTGAAGTCTTATCATCCTGTAATTGCAGCAGGCCTCCAGGAGAGACCAATGAGCCCTACATCCCACCTGCTTCTGGCGATTAATTACTTTTTCAGCAAAGTTCCTTCAAAAACATTTGCCTCACTCAGCTCTTCATATCCATAAGGAGCCACTCCATGTAAGAAACGTTCGGGGCAGAGTGATGAAGATCACACTGCCAGCCTGTTCCTGCTCCATGGATAAACAGGACCAGTCACCGTGAAAGCCTGGCAACAATGTCCCTTCAAAAATAAACAAGAAGCTGATGAAGAGCAGCCCAGCATGGAGTGTGGCTAACGCGCTGCAGTGCACGAGAGACGGCGTGGAAGCATGGACAAACACGGAACATGACTTCCCTCTTCCAAAGTATGAAAGATAAGCCAGCAGAAATCAGGAGGAACATTTTCATGAGCATTCCATGAAGGTTAGGAGTATCATTGTTCTTTCTCCTAACTCTAAACCTAATCTCCTTTTGAAAATTTTTTTTTTGAGAATTCTCAGATTTTCAGATCTAAACTGCTGGTTTTTTTCCCCACAGTAAGCCCTATCAAAAAGATATTTTAAGATATAATCATAGAATCATAGAATCATTAAGGTTGGAAAAGACCTCTAAGATCATCGAGTCCAACCGTCAACCCAACACCACCATGCCCACTAAACCATGTCCCTAAGCACCACATCTACACATCTTTTAAATACTTCCAGGGATGGCGACTCAACCACTTCCCTGGGCAGCCTGTTCCAATGTTTAACCACTCTTCCAGTAAAGAAATTTTTCCTCACGTCCAATCTAAACCTCCCCTGGCGCAACTTGAGGCCATTTCCTCTCGTCCTTTCGCCAGTTACTTGGGAGAAGAGACCGACACCCACCTCGCTACAACCTCCTTTCAGGTAGTTGTAGAGAGCAATGAGGTCTCCCCTCAGCCTCCTTTTCTCCAGGCTAAACAACCCCAGCTCCCTCAGCCGCTCCTCATAAGACTTGTTCTCCAGACCCCTCACCAGCCTCGTTGCCCTTCTCTGGACACGTTCCAACATCTCAACATCCTTCTTGTAGTGAGGGGCCCAAAACTGAACACAGTATTAGAGGTGCGGCCGCACCAGGGCCGAGTACAGGGGCACGATCACTTCCCTAAAGTGATAAAAAACTTCTCTTTTTAATCTACACTTGCCTGATCCCACCACCACTAAAGTACTGAGATGTAATTAAGAGCTTTTTTTTTGCCATTTCTGAATATCAGCAAAGATGATGTTCACTACATTCAGGTATCACTGCATAAACCAAATAAAACTGGAAAGTTACAAAACAAAAGGCTTGCATTTACTCACATACCCTTCAGCAAGCTCCAATAAATGGAAAAGGAATAGATATATGCTACTAAGACACTGTTTCATCACTATGCAAGGAACGAAAATACACCCTTTGGATGTTTGGTTTGTTTTGGTTTTTTTTACTAGTAACAACTTTACAGTTTGGGGATTTTTATTTTTTTTATTATTAAAAAAAACCAAACAAAAAATCACTCATCAGCAAGATGAAAGATGCTTCTTTGGCACTTCCTCCCCACATGAGTTGCATACATGTTTAGCAGCAACTGCTGAGCAGGGTCTCCATCCCCAAAGGAGCAAGGGGTGGTAACTTTCTCCAAAATAATTCTCCTTATCAGGGGAAATTTTGACAAGACGTGCACTGCCATGGAGGAACTTCAAAACTCCTGAGGGGTACTGTGCACCCCTCCCAAGGGCATCCAAATGCCATTAGTACCAAAAGCAGAATTTCAAACTCTGCTTATCGATCCACAGCTATGGATAATTCAATTTGCACTGAACAATATTAAAAAGCAAATGGTCCAAACGAGCTCAAACTTACCAAGGAATCAAAGCTAAGCTATCTGTGCAAATCTTTTTTACTCCATGCATTTTTTGCACATCTACAGTGATTTCTGGCAAAGCTTCCACATTTTCTTCTGAATCACTCATAGCTACCTTGATTTGCACTAGGCCAGGAGCAGATCCTAGAACTCACCAAAAACATTTCTAAGAATGGATTCCTCAGACCTCAATTTTCTTTCCTTTTCTTTTTTTGGTAGTTTTGCTACTTGGTCAGGTTTATATGCATTAAATACATTGAACTGCAGAACATATTCACACCATCCATTTTTCAGTCAGAATGCTGGGCCTTGCAAACGATAGTCATGCCAACAAATGCCACACAAACTTTATTACCATAAACCACAGCAAAGGATACAACAAAAATAATGTAAATGAAGACATATGTAAAGCCTGCTTAAAGCACTAACTAAATTGTATTGTAGTACTTCATGAACTGTCGCCTCTCTGATAGTAGCAGCATAAAACAAAGATTTTTCATTTTAACTGCAGTTACATATAAACACGATTAAAACTGAGAGTACAAGTTCTTGTTCCTTTACAGCTTCAAGAACTACAGAGACCTGACACCTGGCAGCACGTACGTACAACAGCTTGATTCATGACTAGTCTCCGAAGGAGCTACACACATGCACAACATCGTATGCATTTCTGCAAGATTTTTTGCGAGAGCCGAGTTAAGCACATGCCGTGCCTACTTAATGCCCTGCTGAAGTATTTAAGTAGCAAACACTGATTTAACATTTTCATATAAACAGTAACCGTAACCTTCTATATATAATTTACCAATCTTTACAGGCCTCTCTGAACTCTCAGATACTTTGAATTACACGTTTTCAAAGCCTATGTAGGCCTGGAAAAGTATTTGTTCAATTCTGCAAGAGCAGGCCAGACTGAGAAGAACAGTACACGTGGTTCTTCTCCTGCTCACAGTACAAGCAAAGGGAAAACCAGCTCTAACGTGGTCAGACAAGAGAATGAATAAAAAAAAAATGCTAAATCCGAAACACTTCAGGCAACAGATCTCAGGGAACGGACTTAAAAGGGAGATCATGGAGAATTTAGGCACTGATCATTAGCAATACGTAGTGCAACACAGCCTCCCGCTT